AATATATGATTAAATGTCAAGTAGAAATAATCTAAGTACACCAATTGACCTTTTAATCATTTTTGATAAAATTTACAACACTTCGTCATATAAATTAATTTCATTCGCTAAAAAAATTAAAAATTAAATGAAGAGATTAAATATTGTTGATTTAGTTATAAAAATGTTTTATTTAATTTAATAAATAATAAAAAGACTGTTAAAAAAAAGAATGTTGAACAAACAAAAAAATTAGTTAAATTATAAAATCCCAATGAAATAACTATTTATTAAACCTGATTAAACCTTTTTTCAATTTGAGACCAAATCATTTTCAAGAGACATCAATTTAAACAGCAATCTTCAGATATAACCTGCAGATGAAGCTGTCTGATATTTTTGCCTTTTCTTGCACCTTTAAAAGCAACAACTATTTTTACTGATGTTTGAGGTGCTGATGTTGCCACGCCAAATGCAGCCTAATCAACACTAACAATCTGGTTGACTGACTGGCAAAATGGGTTTTATCGTTTCCTGGAAGTTCGTTTCTGTACAAATTTTATTTACAATGACTGCAGAAAAGAAGCGTGATTTTTTCTCATCCCGCGAACTGAATGATTTATCTCACGTTGCTGAATGAAAAAGCGTTTTCCTCCCCAGCCTCGGAGCCCACAGGTATATTTATTTTCCTATTTTGCGATCTGGGCACACAAGGTTGAGCTCACCCTGAACAATGGGTGTCAGTCACCCTCTATCTATTGATGGGCGCTGCAGAACAAATTGTATACCCACGGTGCGTGTCCTGACTAGGCATTGGGGGATGAAGGAATACGAAGGTTGCTTTCAACGCACACCTGCCTGTTTGATGCTTTTTGTGAGGCTTGGGAGAGAAACGCATTGACCAGAACCAAAGATATAAGCAACTGGCCAACAAAATACACAATGCACCTTTATATTATCATTCCCACAGGTAAATCGGAAGATCAAACACAAACCCCAAAATTTCAACAAAAGAATATATTATAAATTATTTTCCACTGTGGAGAGGGTCAAAACGGTCAAAATTTCTCTGCTCCATTCAACCGCCGAATTCGTTCCATTTTCATTCAAGAGGGAAATAAGAAATTTACGATTTGAGAAATTCGAAAACAATTTAAGACCACTTGAGAGTGCACACATGCCTGCCTGCTGGGTTGTAAGAACCCATTTTCCGCCCCTGCCAGCACTTAGCCCCGGGAGGAATTCGTTGCTTTTTATGGACTGCTGCAATTCGGACCCATTCCATAAATTGCAGGCGCCCAATTTTCTCGTCCATGCAAAATCTTTTTCCCAGCTCGCGTTTTACGAGGCTCTTATCGGGAAATAAATTTCCCAGAAGGCAATCTCTGCGGGTGGTATGTATTTTCTCCTTTCGCTTCTTCCATAATACTTTATGATTGAATTACTCATCGCTCTTGATTCGAAAGCGAGAGTGGAAGGCACATTTCGAGACGTATCTCGCTAATAAAAGCCAAACATGCGGGCTGCTGATACCAGAAGAGGAAGCAGCTCGCAGAGAGGAAGACGGAGCGAGTTCCATCTTCTCTCTCTCATTCTTACAGCTTTTGTTATGAAGTTAGTCGTTGGGGTGGCTGGCTGGCTTCTGATCGTAATGACCGGCTATTGTAGCCCTTAGTTCCTGCCGCAGCCAGAATCGCTACTTACGCTAGAGATGGTCATCAGAGATTGCTTCTGCCGAAATCGAGCGAAAGAACTTTTGCTTTTCTATATGCTGCTGGTTTTACGCGGCAATTTCGCCGAATCCGTGCCCGGCGTCCACAATCCGCCTTCGCCAAAGTTTGTTTTCGTTCGTCTAATTGTTTTCGCCAATTAAATTGCTGCCGGCGTCAATCAGCAAAACTTGTTCGCCTTTTCGGTCCTTCCGTTTCTCGTTTTGAAACTCGGGCCAGGAAGACATCAAAAATTATATCATATTTGACTCGACGCAGCAGGCGATTTGTTATCGCAGCTCTTTTTGCCCTTTATCACAGAGGCATTCGTAACGAGTTGCAAAAGTTTTCTTTATCATTCCGATTGTATGAGGAAAAGAGAAACTTTTCGGCGCTCCCCTCGCAAATTTACGTTAACCGAAACTTCCGCAGCACCAGATTGGAATTCACTCAGCAAAAGCCGATCGATATCAGATTTACCTGCGACGATGACGTGCTATGAAAATGACTAAAACAACAGAGGCCTTTTTAATCAAACATTATGTCACTTTAATCCCGCACACAACATTTACCGCCCTCCGGATTAATTTTGGAAGTTGACTTCAGAAACGGTAGCAATACTTTTTGATGGCTGAAACAATATTTATTTTTTTGAACGATTTTTCAGAATTTTTCCACGTGCCAAAAGCTATTATGTCATAAAAATTATTGTTTTTGAATTAAATAATTCAGAGCGGTAAATCTTCTTTCAAAGATATCGCAAACAAAATACATATTGTGGCATAATATGCTTGAAGTTCAGACTTTTTAAATAAAAAAATCATTATTTTAATATTACTTTTAGTTAATATTATTTGTAAAATCGTACAAAGATTTTTTCATGATATTTAATGATAGTTTTTTTATACAATTATTTTAAAATTACAAGTCGTTTTAAATTTTTGAATATTCAATCTCATTTAATTATTTTCCATTTTATTATTTATTTAACTATCGTTTTGATATTTATCTTGTGATAGAGGTGATCCCTCTTTGAAGATGCAATTTCCGGCAAAAAGTGTTTGTAAAACTTATTGAGTTGAGGTGCGGCTATATTTTTGGCAAAAATGATAACTTTTTGCCAAACGTTATTATTTGCCTTTCTGACATTTTTCCATTACATTTGGCCGCAATCTCCGGCTGGAAATGAAATTTGATATTCTGCTCGACGCAGCTTTGTGCTCTGCGATGCCGAAAGAGCGAAATTATCTGGCGGCATCGGTGCGTCGCGAGCGCGTTTCACTCAATGGTGCGTGCTTAAAAATCGGTTTTGGCTTGCGACTAACTTTAACTGCAAATAACAAAGCGCACAAACGACAAATCCGGACGGTAAAAAGCATCCCCTAATGAGGTGTATTTCCTTGTGTGTCGCGGAACATTTCATTTCCGCCGCCGCCACCGCGCTCTGGCCGAACGAAATCGCTGTGCGTGAGGCCATCTGCCATGGCAAAGCACCCCTTTGCAGCAAGCCACCCGCCCGTCACCGACCGCACACTCGCACACCCTCCTGTCGACATAACTCAGCCAGGGCAAAAAACGGCGCGGCCGACAAAGGAAATATCTCTCCCAGTCCACTTGCGCGCACATTATAAAATGCTGCATCGCCGCACCATCAATTTCGGAGCGGCCCGCAAAGTCCATTATTGCGAGTCGTTCGTTCGTTCGTTCGTTCGTTCGCCGGGAGAAATTTATTTATTGTTGCAGTGCATTAGGCCCAATTAAAGCCAGAGGCCATCTGCATGCATTCTGCTGCGGCGTGACGAGACCGACTCTGATTTGATTACTGGAGAGCTGTTCTGCGCGACAGGGCAATAAATTTCGAGCCGTGTCGAATCTCCCCTTTGCATTTTGGCGAAATTCTCCCTTCGCTAACGACGACGTCAGTTGTGAAGGGCTAATTTGCCCCTGAGCTCTGTATCTAATTCGCAATGGAATAAGGGCGCTTCACATTTTAATTGGCATCAGTTAATTTAATTTTGTAATTTTCAAAAGTGCAAAATGTAAAATCTGCAAATTTATAAAAATATAATAATAATAACATTGAGTATATCATTAAAATTACTGTTTAAAAATAAAATATCTCTTGTGATGATAATATGGAATTTTATTATTTTATAACTTTTTGAAATCTGGAGCTAATTTAACAAATATATATTTAATTTGGTTAACTACTAATTAATAACAAAAAAAACTTCTAGAATGCTGAAGAAAAAAAAATTTTCTGCAATTGTTTAGTTTTCTAAATAAAAGAAAATTAGCAGAAAAAACCCTTCTCTGATAGTGAAGTTTCATAGCAAATTTCTCCAAAAGAATAATTTACTCAATCTCTGCACTGATAACATTATTTGCGAGCACGGAACCTACCCTCATATCTTGCAAAACGCCTAAATTAGCCCCATATTCCGTGCTCCAACGAAGCTCCAGTTGCATAATGCGCTCTTTGCTCCCGGCCGCTTTTTTCCGCTCGCTCTCTTATCAGCGAAACGTCCCTAATACCACCCTGGCCTGTATGTGGGACACGAACGGTAGCGCACTACATAGAGCTCTGTGTCTCTCTGCTCTTATATGTTGTAATAATGCGCACCATTAGAATACCCAAGCGTGGTGACAAGAAGCTTATAATGCTATAAAAAGCCCTCACTTCTTGTCTGTAATGTCACTAATGTCTGTGCTTGTTCAATTATCATGCTGGTTGGTCTTCCTGCAGCTCGGATCAAATTTATTATTATAACACTCTTCATGTCACACTATCTTTTATAAAAAAAAGTTGTGATATTGTTATATGATTTATAATGTAGGGTGTAAAACGAGATGGTACTATTTTCCTGCAACATTTTTTGTTATTAAGTTAATCAAAAGGAAGTCGTCTATTTTAATATAATATGCAATTTTCATTTGAATATAGACAAAGTTTTGAAAAACTTTCAACTTTCACTACCTGCATAATATTAATAAAAGCAGTTTTAAATTGAAAACATTTAAAATAAATTTATAAATTTGTTAGTTTTTAATTTTATTTATCTTAGAAACAAACAGTTGTAAATAATGTAAAGTTGTTCCATTTTATCTTTAACAAAGATAATAAAAGAAATAATTTTTTTGCAAAAAAATTTTTATTGCAAAATTAAAATAAATCGTATTTGAGAAAACATAACGGACGTTTTGCGTTCACACGCGTTTTTCTCGGCAATTTCCACAGAGTGTTTGTCCGCAGTTGATGATAAAACGTTTTTGCTCTTTCCACGAGGCATGATATTAAAGCACCACATATAGTTCTCAGGTTCTCTCGCCTGGTCTGGTGACTCGCATGCATACACCCTGCAACCCAAAAGCTCGTCGTTGTGTGAGTGCGCGCTCAAAGTAATAAGAACCAGGGGAACCAAGTAAGTGGACGAGAAAAGAGAGTGAGCTTTTTATATTTTCCAAAGCTGACGTAATTGTGATAAATGATTCTCACATACAGCGCACCGACCCTGCTCTAGTCGCGCATATTAGCCGCGTTGAAAAGGCACTTGAAAGGCGCGCTGCGAGCAGGAAATTATCACCCCATATCATCTGCATTAGTGGGTAATAAGTTTTTCAGACGGAAAAAGCACGAGTGTTAGTTCTCAGGAGACTTGCTCGCTTTTTCTCTCCGCCGGTGTGAGCATGAGATATAAATAATTCCGCCGCAGCTCTGGAAAACTTTTAATTTTATCTACTCGGTTATGCACTTATGGCGGCTCACTTTTTTATTGTTGAAATTACTTTTTGCGGTTTTAATCTGCTGGGGCGAATTTGGCTGTTGATTTACGAGACTGTTTGTTTATTTTTTTTTTGCGTGGACGAGATGCAAATTAGAGCCGGAGAGAAACTGATTTATTGGCCGGCGCTCGGTGAAATTCGCGAAAGCCATACCTCAGAGTTCAGCGTATTGAGAGGGAGATACGTGCAGTAATTGAAAATTTATTCAAGCGGAGATATGTATCACCGCCGCGGTGCTGTCAAGAGGAAGTTACAAAGTTTTCTTCCTTGCTTTTTTATACAGAGAATTCAGTCGATTAAAAACAAGTTTATTAATGCCGCAGTTGAGTTTTTCAAACAAAAGTTGCCCAAGCACCGATAATCCGCGCCTCAGCCTTGTGTGTGTGTGTGTGTGTGTGTGTGTGTGTGTGTGTGTGTGTGTGTGTGTGTGTGTGTGTGTGTGTGTGTGTGTGTGTGTGTGTGTGTGTGTGTATTACAGAGATAAGAAAAGCAAAGACCTTTGTCAGACTGTTGGGTACATAAAAAAATCACGTATTCTTCTTTAAGCTACTGAAGTAAAGTTTCTTTCAAGTGCCAACTTGCAAGCTATACTTTTAAAATACAAGTTTATTGGAATTTGCTTCGATTTCTGTTTGCTGCAGTGCAGAGATATTCATTGGTTAAAAAATGTTTCAGTCGTGGAAATGAAAAAAAAAAAATCAGAAAAATATTTAAACCTCAGAACTAATCATAATATTCAGCTAATTTCGTGTGATTAGAGAATATGAATACTCTCAGAAGATAAAAATTCCTTATTTAATTAAAATTTGAAAAGCTAATATCTTTGCAAAACGATTAAAAAAAACGTTTACAATTTTCAAATTAATAATTCATTTGAGTATTTATTAATTAAAAATTTACCAATGGATTTAATTTCATTAAAGAATGCAAAGTAAACCAGATTTTAGTATTATTATTATTTTTTTCAATTTGTAAGTAGTCAAGGGATATAAATTATAATATTTATAATAAAAAATAAACAGGCAGCTTTTAAAAACAAATCTACTTACACAATAATACAAAATTCTGGTTTTAAATTCCGAGACCCCTGCTATGTGTTAAATGAGGAAAAGATTGTTCTTTGCTCCCCCTTGCCTTTGCCGAAACCGCACTCGACGAAACATTTCACCAGGTCATTAATTAGCCGTCGTCTTTCTGTGTTGCAGATGTGGAAGCAGCAGTCGGCACGATGAGACTAATGATCGCTCTGCTGGTGTTGGCCACGGCCGCCCTGCTGCCACCGCGCGTCTCCGCGACCTGTCCGGCCGGTTGCGAGTGTGACGACGTCAAGCTGGTGGTGACCTGCGTGGCGACCAACTTCAGCATAGTGCCCATCACCCTGAACCCGTCCATCCAGCGACTCATCCTGCGCCAGAACAAGATTCGCTCGGTCGAGGCCAGCATCCAGTTCTACCCGCAGCTGCTCTACTTTGACCTCTCCTACAACCACCTGCTCAACATCCCCAACAAGACCTTCAAGTCTCAGGGCAAGTTGGCCGAACTGCACCTGGCCAAGAACAAAATCACCGGCGTCTCCTCAGGGTCCTTCACCGGCCTGACCACGCTGGCGGTGCTCAGCCTTCGGGGCAACTTCATCGAGGAACTCGGCCCCAGTGCCTTCAGCACCTTGACCAATCTGGAGGAGTTGGACCTCGGCCAGAACAGACTGACCAACATCCACAAGGACGCCTTCAAGGGCCTCTCCAACCTGAGCATCCTCCACCTGGACGACAACCAACTCGTCTTTGTGCCGACCATCGCCTTCCTGCCCCTCATCAACCTGGCCGAGCTCAAGGTTGGCCTAAATGCGTTCAACGCCTCCGTTCTGCCTGACGACGTCTTCCAGGGACTGTCGAAACTGTCCGGGCTGGACGTCTCTAGCTCCAACCTGGCCGCCGTCAGCAATTTTGCTTTCCGAGGCCTCTCCATGCTTCGGACGCTCAATTTGGGGGACAACCAGTTTAAATTCATCCCCACCAAGGCCCTGGGCCAACTGCCCAGACTGGAGGAATTGAAAATTGGACAGAACGCGTTCCCCTCTTTGCAGAGCAAGGACTTCGCTGGGCTGCACAATTTGAAAACTCTGGAGATCATCGGGGCCCAGGATTTGGAGAGGATCGAAGACGGCGTCTTTGCTGAAAACCGAAATTTGGAGTCGCTGATTTTCATCGGCAACAAGAAGCTGCAGGACATCCAAGCCGGGGCGCTGTCCGGCCTGTCCCGGCTGAAAACGCTGGTCCTCAAGGACAACGCTTTCGTGACCTTTTCCGAGTCGATGGTGAACTGGTCGGATCTGCGCCGACTGGACGTCTCGGAGAACCCGCTGTGGTGCTCCTGTGCTCTTGTGTGGCTCAAGAGAGTGCTGATCGCAAGAGAGGAGCCCACGATTGCTGCCATAAACCCCGATGCGAGATCACTGCCCATTTCGAGTCGTGCTTCTGGAGCGGCGCAAGTGCTCTGCGACTCGCCTGCACAATTAAAAGATAGGAGTCTCAGATACTTATCAGACGAAGAACTCGGATGCTCCACCAAAGACTCGACACAGGTTAGACACATTTTAATTGGATGCAGCCTCAGTTTCATTTGTTTCGCCGAGATAAAGGGCGCCGGATAATGAAATTCTTAAAGGCCCGAAAGACCCATATGACCTGGAGTCACAATTCACTGTGCCTAAGGACTAAATAAATTTGCAGAATTATTAGATTAATTTGGAGATTTGTTGAACTTATATACATTTTACTTGAGGAGGCACTTCTGATCAAAAAAACCTCTCAAATTTATTTTGGTGCTGTTTTTTTATTCATATATTAAAATATAGTTTTTTTTTGTTTTTTAATTATCTACCTGTTATTTACAATTTTAAATTATAAGTTACCTTGCAGATTAATCCAAAGAACTGAATTATTAAATAAAAATCGCACAAATTGTAAAAAAAAAAAATTTAATTTAAAACAAATTACTTTAAATTGTCCCCAATTAAATATTAAAAATTTTCTGTTGAGTATTTATTTTAATTATTTTATGTATTAATTTTTGTCTTTGTTTGCAGATGGCTGTCTTGGCTGGAGTCATCTTCATTGTCCTCCTGGTCATCTTAGTTGTTGTTTTCACCCTGAGGAGATTCCGACGAAGGGTGCGCGACGCGCTGAAAGACCCGCCGCGGTGGTTCCCAACGAGATCCGCGTCTGGTGCTGCCATAGCTCGCAAAGAGCACGAGTACCAAAAGGTGAGCTGGACTGTTTGCTTTGACTGTTCGGTTGACGTCACCTTTCTTTTGAGCAAACACACTTACCCGAGTCCTTCTATTGCAGGCTCAACTTGGTTGTGGTGACGACGACTACATGATAAGAGCGGGGGCTCTTGCGGCCAACAACGTCCATCACTACGGACACAGCCTGAAGCCAATTCCTGTAACTGAGCTCTGAAGAGGGCGACTCTCAATATGGTTGTGACTGATTTTCAAAGAAGAAGAAGAAGGTTGTACCCACACCCATGCCCATCGGTACCAGCAGCTGATGAACGAGCAAAGCGGTCTAAATTCTATAGGGAGTTCTACCTCTTTGTTTATGTAACACAAAGGGCTAAGGTGTTCTCCACAATGAGAGAGCACTGTTTTAAAACTAGTCTAAATTTTGAAGTATCTATAAAGCAAAATACTTACTCATAATATTAATTCCTGACAAAGTTTTTGGGCATCAAATCGTACTACGTAAAGAGAAGTGCCCGGATCCATATTATTTAGTTTCAAAACCAATGAGATGAAGATAAGCATGTTTTGATTTTATATTAGACCAACGGTCCATATCATGAGTAGAAACAAAAATTCAAAAATTTTGAAAATTCCATATCAGCATTTTTTAAGTTTTATTTCTCAAGACAATAGTTATTTTTTAAAATGCCAATGAACTTACTCTTCCAAAGCAAAGACAAAAGTTTTCCACAAATAATAAAGGGAAGGAAGCGAAACAATCATTTCTACTCTATTAGTAGGGAACGACTCTTAGCGTGATATTATAATAGTAAAAAATAATATGAACGTGTTTGATTGTGTATTAGAAAAATTTGTGATTTTCTTAATTCTTCCAATAATGTACATCTTTATGATATAACATGAAGAAAAAACCTGAAACGAGACCCTGTTTGTATTATATTTGGGAATTTAAGGCGATTCTTTTTTAAAGTGCTGCAGACACATTCCATTATATGAAAATCTGAACTTCATGTTCCTTAACCTTAAGTAAAAGAGCAACACTAATCACAATGTATAATCAAAGAATCTCATACTATTAAAAATACGTCTCAAATTCTGTGTGGGCACATCTCAAAAAATTGAAAATATGCCAAATTGCAATACCTTTTAGACTTTGTACGTGTTTAATCATTATTTCATGTAATCGTAGTGCCATAATACAAAAATTGGCCAATCGCATTCTTGAACAAGAGATGCAAATATCACCTGCCTGCACAGTAGTTCCGTGAGGATCATACTTTCTGCCTTAAATTCGTCAGCAATAAAACTTTGCACTGGAAAAATTAAATTTTGCCACACACTTGCTCATTTCTGTGCTATAGAGAAGGGAAAACAAAATGTAACTTGCATAATCTGAATCTGTGCTTCTAATGGTCAACGAGTTATCCAATCAAGGGCTGAACTGGTCCTCGAGTACGGATGGCTTCTTCCAACACCCTATCCATTCTATGACACCAATATTTCACTGAAAAACTCGTCTGTCCTGAATTAACTTTTTTTTTCAAATCTAAGAACCTTTAAATTATTTGAAAAATATTTAAATTTAAAAAATTTAATTTTAAAAAAAATGTAAATTCGAGTTTAAAATATGTCCAAAAATTATGGTGTTTTAATTATTGATGAACTGCAAACCCTTCCTATAGGAATATATGATTATTTGTTGATCTCCTTGAAAAATTTATAATGAAATTGTATAATGAGACACAAAATGCGTTATGTCCAATCCAATTCCCTCCATCCCCTTTGTTGTACATTTTACTAGACTAGAGCGCTGCCTTTTCAGTGGTCTATAATACTTTCCATATTCTAAATTGGTGTGTTTTGCTATTGAAAATACCAACTCGCCGCAGTTGACTTTTGCATATTAATTGACTACACATAGAGCAGGCGACACTCGTAATAATTGCAGCCAGCAAACACTATATTTGTGAATTGATTAATTACTCGACAGCTTTTCACAAACATCAAATTCCATTTGTAATACATCACGCGTACAATACACTTGAGTAATAGTCCAACAGTCTGATTACATGCATAATAATACATCAATGTGGCTAAACTCTGTCAGTTAACTAATATATGTGTCGTCCCCCTTTTCCCGATAAAATAAATTAATACGAACCTATTTGTGTAGATGTGTACCACACAAATGTGCAACGCAAAATTTTTATTTTCTACAAATTATGAATGTGTACAGACTTTCTTGTTTTTTCGTGTACATAAAAAAAGAGGAGCGAAGATGCCAGAGTTATAATAAAATTGATAAAGAATACATCATACTCCAGTTTGATTTAATTTTCCTCAAACAAAATAAAAATATTTTAATCAAATGAAATAGTGAGCAGCTGTCGACCAAGATGAGAAAATGCGATTTTGGCACTCGAGTCCGACCCGCTGGCGGTGCAATGTATGATTTTCTATTTTTATCTTCCAATTACTCTGCACGTCGACTGGGTATTATCTGCCGAGTTGCCAGTGGAGCAGATAAAGTTGCCATTGGAGACAAAGCAGCGAGCAGAGGAGGAGTGTTAAATTATTATTATTCAACCGGAGCCCTTTGTTCGGGCAGAGTGAGTGAGCGCAGAACGGGAGCTGACAGCAGTTTGCTGAGCGAGCAAGAGCTCATTTTGAATTTCAACTCGGCCAAAAGAATTTAATCCGGACGAACCAAGGAAAGGAGAGAACAATTATAGGTATATAACTGTATGCTAAAAATATGAATTTATGTATTTAATTTTCGCTTTATAATTTCGGCGTGCGTGAATTTTTAAACAGGAAGCAGCCTTACGCGTTAAGTTTGTTAAAACTTTCTTCGGCTGTGAAAAATGCACTCACATACAGCTTTTGGCATACTTTCAATTAGTACAAATGACGCATGCATAAGAGATAAAAGTGTGTCTGCCTGAACTGCACGCTACTGTATATTTATTTTAGCATAAGTGGGTATGAGAAACCATACTTGTCTTGCAGTCGTGTGTGTTAGGAGCGAAAACGGAGAGGCGTGCAAAGGAAAACGACTGTGGGAAACGCTGAAAAATAATTTCTCCTACTTCAGTATTATATTATACTGTGCACGGAATTTTTCTCGCCGTTTATCTCATTTCTCGCGCGTCTTGCTTCTCTATAGAGAGTCTCCACTGAAAAAAGTTAATTCGGAACAACGTGCGCGCGGCGCTATAGCCAAAGTTTTGCAAAAGGACGACTGTGACAAGGGAAGTAGTAACATTGTGAACTTGGTGCCGAGAAGTGCGCATTTATAGAGAAGCCGCTCGAGGCCTGCACATTTTCAATGGTCTAAAGTTCGTTAATTTCAATGTGAGTAGAAAAAACTTAATTTAGCTGACAATACTTTCACCTGAAAGTCCTTATTCTAAACAAAAGAAATAAAAATTTATATGCACATTCTTAATATTAGTTAATTGTTAACAATAACCCTTTTTTAATTTTATTCCAAACAGGATCCTCTTTTACTGCGTTTCATATTTTTTTCTATTCTCTCTACTATTATTTTTACAGATTACTGAAAAAAAATTTATTATGATGTCATGCGGTAAAATTTATAAAATTTGGACTTAATCCAACTCCTCTGACCGACTTTTCAATGTCAAAAGGATTTGTCGATAAATCAATAATTTAGATGCCCAACAAACAGCCCCGTCATATTAAATAAATTCGAAAAATGTTCAAATGGACATTTAAAAATCATAAAGCTGAAAAATAATGCAAGAAGCAAATTCAATTGCGCATTCAATTTTTTTTATTGCAGTAACAAAATTGTCTTCTTATCGCTTATCCAATTGATGCTTTTCCTTCTTATAAAAACGATAAACGTATACGAAAGGCTGCTTGTTGACAGAGACGATTTTAATCTTCCATTACGACATAGACACGTACGATTTAAAAAAAGTTTATTTATGATCAAGTTCGCTGCGGTTATGACATAAACTCTGTTGAGCAAAATCAGCAATATTAAAATTTTTCTACTCAAGAATGTCAAGCGCATTGCTTACCTAATTTATGTTGATCTATTTCCTCTCACATTCTATTTTTTCTGCATTAATTATTGAGAATTATATTATATTGCATTTATCACAAACACAAAAATCAATACATTTGAATAGAACTCACCAGATAGAAATTTGTTAGGATTTAGATTGTAGTGCAATTTAATCATTATTTCTAAATAATGATTAAGCACACACTTTGAGTGTCTTACTTTTTGCAAGTTTCTCTGTTTCTGGTGATATATTGGTGATAATAATAATAATTATAATTTTTCAGAGGCTCCACTACAACCCTAGTGACATAATATTTTATTTTTGTCGTTGCAGAGATCTGATTGCGAGTGAATTTCTACGAAGAACTGATCTAATTCTATACAACGCTGCAGAAACGGCCCAGAGCAAAAGGGATCGGAACTTCTTCAAATTTCGCGACTTCGGGAGCGCAACCATTGCGTCCTTCGTGAGGATTCGCGCCGAGAAAGTCCAAATGCGGAGCAAGAAGGAAGAGGCGACGGTGGTGCCACCTGCTGCCGTCGACGACTCGCCTCCTCCGGACTCGCTCGCGCTGCAGGAGTCGCTCGCAAACAAACTGGAAGAAATGGCAACGAAGAAGAAGCAGGACGAGAAGAACCTAAAGCTGCTGCGGGAGCTGACCTCGATGGCCTGCAACAAGCACTGCTTCGACTGCCAGCAGCGAGGGCCCACCTACGTGAATATGACCATCGGCTCCTTCGTGTGCACCACTTGTTCTGGCCTCCTGTGAGTCACCCCCGAAAATTCCTGAGACTTCTCTCTTTGCCTGGAATTCCCAGAGACCTTTCCTCGTTGAGGTCATTTCGAGTCCGTGACCTCAGCGAGAGACGCCCCTAGAGTTGTTTTCCTCGACCGCAGACCGGTCACATGCCCTTTATGCGTTTTCTTTTCCTCTTGCTTTCGCAACTCTCGATGCATATCGCGCCAAACAAAAGGCGTAAATTGTGATTTTTGCGACATCCTTTCCTTCTCGTCGCTAATATGGGGGTGTCAACATCTCTACATTCATGGGAGTAAATCGCCGTTTTAATCTTTTGCTCTGTTCATTGAGTTTGTTTGCAGTCAGTTCGCGTCCACACTCGACCATAAACGGTTCGACTAGAAAGTTTCAGTTATTTGCATTCACGATTTGCGCTCTATTTTCTCTCCTCTCTCACTCTTTCTTTCTTTCTGCGATCTTGATTATCTCGTTTTGCAATGTTGGATTCGAATTAATTATTTTTCTGCTATTTCAGTCGAGGCCTGACGCCGCCGCACCGAGTCAAGTCAATCTCTATGACTAGTTTCACCGACGAAGAAATTACGTTGCTCAAATCGAGAGGAAACGAGGCAAGTTTTGTGTGATAAAAATAATCATTAAAAGGAAATAATGATCATTGTGTGAGCAGGAAAAGGAGATGCATTAAATGTTAAAAGCACCATTATTTACCAGTTATGAATCACCTACTTAAAGTGAAACAAAAGATAACACAAATCTGTCACCACTAGGAAAGAAAATATTATTTAAATGTTTGAACTGGTTTGAACAGAGTTAAAATATTATAATTTTCATTTGAATTTCAAACATAGTTTAAATCAAAGAGGGGAATTAAAATATAATTTCTTAAAATAAAATTGATTTGGCTAGAAACTGAAAAAGAAATATGTCAAATAAATTAATTTATTGCTTTTTACGGCACATTAATTGTTAATATTTCCTTCCAGTACTGTCGGAGAGTGTGGTTAGGCCTGTACGACCCTGCGCAAGAGACGGACGTGTCGGACGACTGCAGGGTGAAGCAGTTCATGGTGAACAAGTACGAACGCAAGCGCTACTACCTTGACCCCAGCAAAATCTCGTTGCCAAAACCAGCGCCGTCACCGCAACTCCCGCTTCCGCAGCAAACAACCACGCCGCTCGCCAAACCTTCGATGGCCCTGCCAAGGACTGTGCCGCACATCAGCTCGCCAAACAACAACATGCTGATCAAGGCAGACCCTTTTCTGCCACTCAGCAATGTGCCGCAGCCGCCGCAGGACAATTTTGCCAACTTTGATAACGCGCCCATCTTCAACGCATTAGTGGCGCAAAACTCATCTCCCGCCAAAAACCAATCAAGTGAGTATTATTTTAAATCGTAATTTTAAATATTAAAAAGTTTAAATTAGAATTACTTGAAAAATATAATACATAGTACTTTTAGGGATTCTTTTAAATTCACGTTTACTTTAATTTTACATTATTTAAAAACCTTTGATAATTTTCTATACAATTTAATATAAAAATATTCCTTGAAAGTAATGCATTTGAATATGAAATTTTATTTAATTGTTTTTTAACGTCAAAACTAAAAACTCATTTTGCTATGTAACTGATATCTTGAAACTCTCGTTTGTGCTGCCGGATCATCAGACAATTACTTTGAGGATCTCAGTTTTCTCGACCCAGTCTTCACAACTCCGACTCCGTCTGCACAAACTTCTTATCCGCCCAATGATAACATGTCATGGTTCAATCCGTGGCCTAGTGAGTTCAAATTTAGCTACCCGAAATCCCCTGCACGTTCAATGTCAGTGATTAAACCACAAATAACATTTTATAAAATGTTTAAAAAAAAAATGATATTTTTGCTGAAAAATCTAATAAAGATCAACCTCATAGAGGTGCTTTCTAAGCTCAGAATTGAAAAAGTTCTATGAGCACAAAATGCTGAAATCTGAAATGGAAAAATAATTACATTAAAAGTTTTGTTTTCCTCAAAGTGGTTGCAAATAATTAATTTTTGAAAACTTAAAATTGCCAAATTTGATAAGTTTATTTAAAAAGTGATGATTGTGTTTTACACCATTAATTAATTTGAGTGATTTTTGTCTATTTTGCAATTGCTTTCCCATCCCCCCTTACGGCATGTTCGTTTTTGTAGCTAAAAGCCTGAACTCAACAATATATTTGTTCCAGTTAACACTTTGATATTTGTTCTTAATCATGTCATTTTTATCGTTTTTTTTTTATAAAAAATTTTTGCAAATTTTGTATTAAATTTGACTATCTCTTTCAGATATACCAAACAGCTTTTCAACTCCTCCAATGACCATAGTCGGCAATGGAGGACAATCTGAGGATCGTTACGCCGCTCTGAAGGATTTGGACTCTTTAATGAAAGGTAATTTATAAAAAATAAAAATAACTTAAACATTTTTAATAATCTGTTTAAATTCAAAGGAGCAACAATTTCAAGCTCTCCGTTTACCAACGGCGGCGGCGGCAGCATCTTCGACTCGCCAATGTCGCAAAACCAGTCAACACCCATGTTCCTTTCTCCAGACTCAACTATTTCCAGTTCGACAATTTCCAGTCCGAGCAACCCATTTGCCGCGGCCAGTTCTCCATCCCGCAACAACACAAACCCTTGGGGAACGCCGCCAACATTCTCTCACAACTTTGGCCGCGCCACCAACCCTTTTGAAAGCATCACCACCTCTCCTGCTCCACCCCCTGCCACCAATAGCTCATCGGAACTTAGCTGGAATGCCAACTTCCAAGACGCTTTCAACGGTGGCAGTGCGTTCAGCAGTCAGGAGAACAACAAGAACACTTGGGGCTTCATGAGTTCCAACGCCAACAACTTTAACAACTCGAACAATGGCCTCAACTCTGTCAGCAACGGCTTCAACAATCCCTTCACTGTGAGTTTTCCTTTTGTTTATTTTGAACTTTCTCTAATTGAAATATATTTGCAGTTGGGAGGAAACACTTCGGCTATGTCGAGCAACCCTTTCCTCTGATATGAAGATAAAGGGTGTGCTAGTTTGGCAGGTTTATTGAAGAGTCAGAGAAAGGATGCATTTGAACAGTCACATCTTGCCGCTGTTAGGAGGCGCGGCATCTTTTGACAAAAATTACAAAATCATTTTCATTTACAAGCAGAAATTTATTATTTAAGAGTCTCGTTTGAGAAAAATATTTCTTTATCGTTTATCTGGATGTTGATTTATTCAGCTAAATTTTATTTTTATTTGAAACTTTTGTGCATCTAAATTATTTAAAAAAATTATTTTACAATGTTTGGTTTGAAAGTGTATTTGTCAAGGGTGTGTTAGAAAGGGTTTGATTTGGGCACAAGCAATCTTACCCCGTACTGAGCTTATTTAAACGAAGTAAGAAAACGCCTTAAACGCATTGTTATGAAGCTTGGCTTTCCTGTGTAACTACTATGCCTTAACTGATAATCATATAACGCGTTCACTGAATGATATTAGTTTAGATCACATCTAGTTGATGCAACACTGCTAGGAGTTGTGCTTGAAAGATCTGATGTAAATAGGGTAAACAGAAAGAAGAAATGAACCTCATCACATTTAATTAACTTACCATTCACTGGGGTGATCACTGTCATAGGCTTTCTTTTCATTGTTCAATTAATCAATTTGTTCGTTCAAACAAGGCTGAATTCCGAGATAGCTGGATTCCATCCATTGCTGTGATAAGTGAATGAACAATTTTGTGTAAAAAGACACATTAATCAATCATAATATTTGCTACAACTTCAAGAAAATCATATATATACAAAGGATTAGAAAAGCAGAAACCCCAGGAGAAATGCTATTTTAACCATGGAATATAGAAATTTTGCGATTGAATATCTTGTGTACTGTTCTACAATATAATTATTTAAAATACTATCTTCTGTACCATATGTGATAAATCCTCAATAAAACTTATTTAAAGAAAACAAATCCGTCTTAAGAACACATTTTATTCATTTCAATTCAATTTCACTGACTGGGAATTACAATTATGTAATCTAATTACAAATATTATCGTTCGTGGAATTGTATTATAATTAAAATGGAAATTATTCATTGTTTTCTTTCGATTTTGCAATCAAAACTCCTCTGGCGAATCAACATTAAAACTGCGTAATCTATCTTAGATCCACAAATAATAAAAAAAAATGTGAACAAGCTAACACAGCCCCTACAGCTTTACATTACATCAATTTTTTGCACAAATATTAATCGGACAGCTGGAAAAAACTTAAAATGCCCTGGTGTGTAATTGATAACTTGAAATTTGCAAAATACTGTTCAAATGAATTATATGGCAACCAAAACTAAAACAAGGCAGTCCCATTCTTTTAAAATTACGAGGAATAGGTTGGCGTGTGGAAGGCAGATGCACCTTGTGGCTGAAATTGCAGTTGGTTCTCCAAGATTTGAAACAGTTCAGGTGGCTGCGGAATTCGGCCAGTTTCCAGTTTCGACCAAACAGGAACGTCTAATGGAAAATGTTTGTGAATAGGTTAAAATTAGCTAATTATTATAAATCACCATTGAAAAACATTTCAAATGCGCCAGTCGAAACGAGTTGTCCCTCCAGGGCGTTACCCATGAAAAAGATCATCATGCAAGCATAGATCTTGTTGTTGAAGCACCACTGCCACCAGGATGGTGTGTTTTGATATCCAAGACTCGTGAAAGGATTGACTCCAAGGACAATACACATGACTGCAGCCATCTTCAGTAAACCCTGGGAAAATATAATATAGTTACAAAGTGTATGTTTATGTATATGTTACTAAAAAAACTTAACCTCTTAAAAAAGCAGCAAAAAAAAAGAAAACAAAAAAAAACAAGTGGGATTTAAGTTAAAAAAAAAACTATTTAGACATTTAAATGGAAATTTAAATTGGAAATTTTCAAGCCAAATCAAACCACATACTTAATTACTTTAATTAAGTTTCATTAATAATTTCTTACCACGGCTTGAGCTAGGAAGGTTCTGACAGCTGACGGCTGATAGTTGTCACCAGTGACGATGATCTCTGGATACTTTTCCTGAAGCAGATTTGCATATTGGTCGAAAGCTTTTCTGTATCCGCACGAATAGCTGAAATGTGACAAGTCATGTTACTAACTTTTCTATTGCACAGTTACATCAGCAATAATATGTAGGAAAAGGAAGTAAGTACGAGTCAAGCGAACTCACCAGTAGAGGACTTTCAAAGTCGGTCCGATAAATTTGTCGACACCGACTCTGGTGACTGGAATTTCTTTGGGAGTGCTTGACGAAGACTGAGTCGGCGAAATGAAGAGATCCTTCACCGTGAGAACGGCGAAAAGTGTGAAAATCCCGACGATCGAGAGTCTGGAGTAGTCTGCCATGTTTCCACTTTGTTGGTGTTGACTCCCCGTCGTCTTCCCTATAAAATAAAACAGATGATGGACTGTGAAATTCCAGAAGTCGTTTGCACACAGTTCTCGTGCTTTCGAATGTTTTAGTGACGATACCAGAACTGTGAGGTTACAGAAGTTATCGCAAAATCTCAATTTCCAGCTAAAATCGAGGTTTGAATTTGTTTATCAACGAACAGAGGGCAGCTCTAAGAAAATTCTTAGATCAATGTCGTGCCTCGCCCCCTTTTCTCGACTCCTGATTGGCTGGTTGTTTCTAAACCTAAACAAGCATGCGAACTTGACTAACGTGAGAGCTGAAAGCTGAAGAAGAAAAGGATTTTAATGTTTTGTTGACGACTAAATTTAGTGCATACAGAGTTTGATTCAAAATTAATTGTTTTATTTTCTAGAAATCTAATATTTATAATAATTCGTACTCAATACATACATACATAGTATTGTGTATCATTCCTTTAAAAATAAAACGTAGCGGTTAAATAAAAAGTGTAAACCAGATCTATGTACATAGAAGTCTCTGCATAAACTCAGGTTTGAATTATCGTTTGAAAACCACACAATATAAAATGATATTGCTGAAAATTTTCTTTAAAATGTCTCACTCTTTTTAAATTTTTGCAGCCCAACAAGATTATGTCGTGGTGCAGGCTTTTGGCTTCATCCCGGACAGTGGGTCGAACTCTCCTAAGTTCCACCAAAAAATGCTCAACAGTCTCAAAATCAGACCAAATCACCGTCGTCTCAAAGATCAAGAACTCAACCAGACTAAGCGACGAAATCACAGACATGGATTTTGCCTTCGACTCGAAGCCCAGCATCCTTGCACCAAATTTAGGAACACAGATTGATTTTTCCGAGTACGGACCTACTCTTCCAAGAAGTCAAACCCTCGCTGCCTATGTCAATAGATCACCAACCCTTCAGAAACTGGTAGACCTTGGAGTCGACTTATCAATTGTTGAGAAGAAATTAGACATTGCTGAGCAGATCTTAAAACTTGATTTTGATCGAGATATTGCAAAATACATTCAGTAGGTTGATTTTTTTTAAAGAATTTTTACTAATAAATTATTTGATAATTTGCAGATTTTTCACGGACATTGGAGTGCCAGCAGATTCATTAGGTGTGCTTTTTACAAAGAACCCAAACCTCCTCCTAGAAGATTTGGAGGCAATGCAGAAACGGATCGACTACTTGATGGTGTTAAAATTTGAATTCAAAGACTTTGAAAGGCTAGTTGTTGCAAATCCAAAGTGGTTGAGTTTTAGGTTTGTGTTGAAAAATTTCCATGTTTGATTATAATTTAGTTATATAATTTATAGTGTAGAGGAAATGGAGAAAAGAGTTGCTTTCTTCCAAAATGAGTTTAAACTGAACCTTCCTGAGTTCCGTAAACTGGCATTGACCTGCCCTAAACTTATCACCAAACACATAAAGGAAATCAGGGTAAGTTAATAAGAAAATTAAATTGATAATTTTTAAATGCTCAATATATTAATTCTGGGACAAAATAATAATTCTCATGGTGTCTTTAATATATTTTATAATGATTTATTGAAAGTTGGGCAACAAAATGAAAATCCCTGCAAAATTTAAATTTATAAAACTCAAAATGAAACTAGCAGGAAAGAAGCCTTCCATATTCAAAATATTTCAAATATTTATTTTCTACAAAACAATAAACGACTTTAGCTTGGCAAAATATTCCCATCGACGAAAAGTTAAATGTAGAAATGCAATTACAAGGCTAGCATAGCAATAAACATCTTAAAAGATCTTAGATAATAGAAAATAATTTTTCAAGAATATTTAATAAGATTTGAAATAAAATTTAAAAAAAAACCTTTGCTTCCATTTCAAGTCGATGAGCCAAATTTTTTAAGCCTTTAATCTACACGTACTCTTTATTTTTTATAATATGTGCACATTGGCTTGCAAGTATTTTGGTTGCTGAAAGCTTGCCATGAGATATGGGTGTAGATTTCCTGCCAAGAACTTTGAGAGGCTCTTTTGTGCCACGTGACTCCCAGCAGAGCAAGAAAGTAATTCACCTGCTTAATTTTCTCGTAGGTTTTTATGCCACTTTTCAACTTTTGAAATGCATCTCTCAGCGTCAGATTTTATCGCCGCTTAGTTAAAACTTTTGAGCTGAGACTGCTGGAAGAAAAGAAGCCGAGTGTTAGATCTATACACATTTGTATGCGCTCAAAGAGCGAGCTGGGAATGAAATAAAGAAAGACGGCCATAACAAAAATTAGAAAGAAACACAAACAGCATTTCTGCGCTTTCTCTCTCGCTCAAGCCGAGTAATAAAAGCACAAGACAGGCCAATGTTTTACAACGCACTTGGCCCAACAACATTTTTCCCGTCTACGGAGAGGGAAAGCCGCGGGTAAACCACGCCTAGCCGCCTTTTTATTAATGATAATTTTATGAAGCGGCGCCCGCAGAGAGAATGAGAGAGAGCGGAAAAGAGTGGTGCTCCTCGGGAGAATACTTGGCCCCGCCATTGGAAAAAATGTTTTGCCAGGCCGCAAGAGACCGCCGACAACACCGCTTGCGCATGGTTGTGATATCATTAATCTCTTCACACTCGCACAGAGCGGCGGGTAATTTTTTACCACATATCTCGCGCGCAGATCCAATTTAGCACCTTGGGTCGTTGATAAATTAAATCTGATAAGAAGCTTCCGGCTCAACCCCGTCTGCGTTACACTTTGAGGGGATGGAGGGTTTGCTTTCACTTTCGTGCCGGCTTTTAGACTGATAAAAATTCGCTTGGTAATTTGTCAAACCGCTTTTGGCCGCCGTTTCATTAGGCAATCAATCTGTGACAAAATTTGAGCCAAGAAACGGAAGAGATGTGTGCGAACAGATTGATATATTTTTCACATTAGTGATAATATTCTGTATTTCATAATTTTGCCAAATTTAATTTGACTGAAAAATCATAACTAATGATTAATCTGAGAATTTACAACTTAAAAAAAATGTTTACACTAACAAATTATTGTCTATTTTAAATTAATATTTGTGTCAAGAGTTGGGAATATGATTAACTCTCATAAATAAGATTAAAAATCCTGTTTTTGTAAATTAAATTATTTAATTATCATAATTTACATTTTATTTTTTATAATTTTTTATTTATATTTATTTAATTATTTTCCTTTTTTTGCATTGCACAGGTTTTGCAGAATTTACATAAATCTATAATATTTAATTTAATAATATATGTATATCTGGCGGTTTTATATGTTAATAATAACACATTTCACAACCATACGCTTGTTATGGATAAATAATTGAAATATTGTAAATATTTGAATTTCCGTTAGTGAGTAAAGTTAACCAAAAAACCATAATATTCAGAGATAATAAATTTTTAATCTGTCTTCAGTTGATTTGATTACTCCACCTCTATTTTTTAATTAGGCAATGGAGCTTTAAACAAAAAAACTTCATAGTTATGTCAAAAGAGCCTGTGAAAATAAGGACACCTGAAATTGTTACCGTGGAATTTCTACAAATTTGATTTTGAATCTTCTGGCCCTTCAAATATTATTTCTCCATCGCAATTACTCATTATTTAATTGCGCAATGAATTATGAAAAAAATATAATAACACGCAGGTGAAGGACGGGCGCAAATTTGCATTTTATTACCACATCAGTGGGTTTGAATAAAAAATTCAACACATATGTACACCACCACATCGCTTCTATCTGACGTGGACAAACAAAATCCGCGAATCAAAACACGCGTCGATTAAAATTGCCGCTGATTTCATAAAGCGATTTGTTTCCGCTGGAATAAATCAGGCGCAAATTGGATTTTTTTATTATGCAGAGAGAGCCAGTCGGTTTCGCATTTCACATTTTTTTTTCGTACTTCGCATCCATTTTTTATCCGTCGAGCTGCGCAATTTTTCTTTGGAGATGCAGTCTTTTGAATGGGCAGGTTTGTTTCCAAGAAGGAAAAGGGACACGGCATGGCTGTCCAATTCAAGCGTGGCCAAAATTTATGATCCTTTTAGAAGATTGACTGTGCAGTGTGTTCAGCTGCATTGCAAACTCGAGCTGTTTTTTCTCCGACTCGAACGGCACGCAATTACAAAAAGCATATAGCTTCAAATTTATGGAGCAGGCGGATGCAGCACAACTGTCGGACAAACAAATTTAGATACAAAAGTGCGATAACCAAAATAAAGGGCCTGTTTATCATGCGCCGCGCGAGATGACAAATAAAAAGCTGACCTATGGCGGAAAAAGCTATCTTATCTTGTCTTGTTTTAGTTTCCTTAAATGTAAATTTTGAAATGGTGGTTTCATGAAAATATAGATGCAGATTTAGAGAGTTAAACATTCGATTCCCTACCATTCTGGAAATTGGGACCCTTAAATAAATGTAATTAATAAAACGATCACATTTCAAAACTTACAAGCACAAGCCTTCAAATCTTTCAATTCTTTGATTTGAAAATTTCCAATGATTTGTAAAACTGCTTGAAAGTGTAAAAAAGTTGAAATTTTTAGTTTAATTTCCAAGCTAATAAAAATTTTAAATTAGATAAAGCTGATGGCCCTCCTGCCGGTAAATTTTTATATCTGTTAATACATGTTATATAATCCGTTGAATCTTGAGATTCAATGTGAATGTCCAGAAGTAGCTTAAAATATTGCTATTTTGACTGAATTTAGCTATTTATAAATTATGAGTCGAGACTAATTTACCTCGAATTTCAAATCAATGTGGTAAGTCAAGGAAAGCCTCTGAGGCACAGGATGACTCCTGGTTCAAAGCTCATCAGGGGCGCAAATGTCTTGACGCAGGTTAAATTTTTTTTTGACTTTCACAATTAAAATAGCAATAATTAAATCTGTTTTGGTCTAACCATACCCTTTTCTTTAAAAAAGTTCTGCAAAAAACCTGAAAACAGAAAAAAGGGGAAAAATATTAAGAAATTAATAATTGCTTCAGGTGAAGGTAATGCGACCTAAGATCCTCTTATTATTTTTTCGAAGAAATAGTTATATTTATCAACAACTTTTACCAAATTGCCATCATATTAATGGTCTCTGCCTTTTGTGTTGCAGGCGAATTCGTTTTCCATCATCGTCGAGATGGGATTTACCAGCAACGAACGCAAATCCATGTTGATGCAGAAGCCCCGCATCTGGACACTACGTGAGTTTTTGATCTCTGATCATTTTTTTTGCACGTACCCAACTTCATCTCTGTGGCAGAGCCGGATCAAAGGCGGACATGTTGGCTTTGCCACTTTTTCGGGCAAACGCGAAATTGATGTTACTTTCCTCACAGTTGGAATATATTTTTTTATTCTTTGCTTCCGATGTGGAGTGCTTCAAAGAAAGTTTCCACATTCGTAAAATTCTAAGAAATGAGTCTTTTGAAACTTCTGATGGGAGAGAGAGGAAAAGAGGCCAAATTATTATATAAGTTGCGAGTCTTTTGGGTAATGGAGTTTGCTATTTAGCTTAAGTTGTTTACCCAACTTTTTTCACTTAATCTGAAGCAAATTAATTTGGCAAAAAAATCAGAAATAAATTCAGCTGTTCACTTCTTTCTAAAAATAAAATCACATAAAATTTTAATCTGAAAATTGTTTCAATATAATATTTTCATTGAAAATTTGAATATTGCATTAATTCAATTATTATTAAAAATTTTGTACCGTCAAAAAACAAAGAAACGGTTAAGATTTTGTAAAACTCAAATGGCTAGTTTAATAACAAGCTCAATTTTAAACTCCATGAAAAACTAAAAATAAGTGAGATTTGCAACTCTTATCATATCTTAAAATTTGCCATTTTTTGTTGATATGCATGAATTCAAATTATCAACTTTTTTGCAGTAAGAAAATTAAAAAATTATAGTTAAACTTTGCAACTCGCTTTTTCACTTTTCACTTCACGTTGCAATTTTTGTTGCTCCGAATTAATTACTAAACGGTCTGAAAGTATTTAGGTACTTTTAATTTCCATTAAAGAGCAGTGTGCCGAGCCGAAAGTTGCGCAAGATTTTAATGTGCAAAAAGAGTGCGTAAAAGATATGAAAGTAATTCCAAAGCGTCATTTTAGTGCATTACAAAGTTGATAATTGCTGCGGCACCTGCAGAGGTGGAGAGCGGCTCGTCCGGGCAGAATTCGCAGAATTTCTTTTATCTCATTTAACCCGGCTGCGTCGTGAAATGTGGAAAAGAGAGAGGGCCCCACACCGGTGCTTAATTCTGTGCGAGTGAGCACGGCGTAGATAAGGGGGTGGCTCCCGGAAGTACATGACGTTAATACCCAGTTTTTGACAAAATGCGGTCCCGGGCTCGGCATGCACTTGAGCAAGGGTTGAAGGCGGCCGGCTCGCTCGGACGATTCTAATCTCGAGTGCAGCTGCAGCACGGCAGTTAGGGTGTGAAATATTGCAAGTCTCCAGTGGGATTATCATTATCATGATATTGATTTATGCCCGCCGGTCTTTCTTATGCAAAGCGTCCAGCGGCAAGCAGCTACCCTCATTAGGCGTAATTTCGGGATGAGAGCAACAAAAAGCAGACTGACAAGAAGGGAACTTCGCCTATCTCCACTTGTCAAATTTGCATTTAGCTTACGGAAACTTTTTTGCCTTTTTGCACTAATTAGCAATTTAAAACGCAGCACAAATAGAATAAGCATCTATAGTGCAAAGAGATAAGTATTTTTAAAATTTGTCTTAAACCTTTATTTTCAATATAACATAAAACTGGACTTGTTTACAAAGCAAATTACGGTGAAGATTCCAAAAGATTAACTATAAAATTATCTAAATTGTGTGATTTTATCATCCAATCTTAAAATAAATTTAGACGGATTAGAAAATAAATATTTATTTTCATTTTTAATATTCTCGAATGTGTATGTTAAATTCAAGTATATAATTTAAGAAAATTCTCATAAGAAGTAATGCCTATTGTTCCTTTTTTATGAAATGATAAAAATGTTAAGTGCTATTAGATCATAATTTATGCTAAAAAAATCTCTTATCAGAATCAATGTTGCCGTTTTTTCTGGATTGCTCAATTGTTAAAAAAAAAGTCAATAACATTAGTTATAACAAATTGAAAATTGGTCTTAATTCAAAACTTACTGGCTATTTGAGTTTAAAAGTGGTAATTGATTATCCTTTATGACCGCGTTCTTTCATTAAAAGGGCTGGTTTTAGGAGAAAATTACAACCATTCCTTCCGCAAAGGTCAACCCCGCCCACCAATTTATGCACACTGACTGACAATTCGAGAGGTTCCCTTGTGAGCAGTGCTGCAGCAGGATAAAATAGACGTTCTCCCTCACTCACGTTGCCACAAATTATGCCCGGAATAAACTTTGATGCTCGCCGCCGGCCGAGATTGAAACAAACTTTCAGCTCGCAATTCAGCCGAGGGTAATTAATAAAAAATTAAGCCCGGCTGCTCGTTTACGACTCGCGAGAGTGGCAAAACACGGCGCATTATTATTTGTCGCATTTGCAGACCGAATCTTATTTTACTCTCTCGGCGCGCAATCTCGAGCGCTGATTTGCAAATTAAATGAGGGCTGTTTGTTTGTTTACGACTTGCGTGTTAATTAATGCGCCTGTGAATTTTTCAGCTTACCAAGTCAGATGGAATTATCATAAATTTTGCGCTGCCGCCGACGCACTTTCGCCGAGCGTTGGCGCGCGCATTAAACGAGGTTTTGCTTGTCGGCGCACGGCAAGGGTGAAAAGTTGTCGGGCCTTACGCCCAAGTTTGTGCGCCCACCGAGTTTGTCGTACTTAACAGCAGTTTACGCAGCATCCCAACACATACATATACATTTCTTAAAAGACCGCACCGTCTGCTGGATTGGATTTAACATGTCGCGCAACTGATTCCGGAGGCTCACTCGATAGAGCTTGCCAACTACTTTTGAAACTTTTGGGTTCGATTCCAAGAGCAAAGGCTGGTCTAGAGGATTTTCTCGGTAACCGCAGAATTTAAAGTTGTTACAGATAAAAACGGATTTAAGAGGATCTGCCATTAAATCGGGAATATAAGGAAGTGGCGCATTGGAAATAAATTTTGCAATGCAATTTTCGAGGAATGATTAATTTAATGCATGTCAACGTTTAGGAGATCAAATTAAAAATTAAAAAAAAAAATGATAATTCTGATGCAGTTTTCATAAACGGTTCAAAAATAATGTTGAGAAATTAATTATTTTTATAAAGCGTCAATCATGTGTGTTCATGTGGATGTGCATATAAGTTAATGTTTTCAACAATTGCATGTAAATAATGCACTGTGTAACAATAGACAAATAAGCAACAATACAATATATAATATTGAACAAATAAATACAATTTTAAATTAATAATTCAATAAAAGAAATAAAAAATATATAACACGATGAAATTATCAGAGGATTTGCGTTTAATTAGTTTTGTTAAATAATTTGCCCCTAACTTTATAATACAAAGTCCTCCCACTTATTGATTGCATTAGTAGATTGCGAGAGGCAAGTTTGATTTATTAAAAATTCAACGCTTTTCCCAATTTTTAACAACCTCTCCAAGTTCTTTGATAATCTTTTTAGTTTTCCTAAAAATCCTCTTCCTCCCCGAGGCAAAACTTTGCCGATCTGAATTGGCCAAATTGCGACTCTCATTCCAAATTACTCTGAGGTGAACTGCTGATAAATGTCAAAGTGCAACTTCCTGACATTTTCGGGGAGCCCTTGAGCGTCTAACTTTCATTCCCTATCAAAATCTCAGCCCGAGATCAGTGGCCTGAACCGTTCAAAATGGATCGTTCTCAAGTTCTCCTCTGTTCAGGGTAATTAAGCGTCATTTTTTTGCCAAACTACTCAATAAATCTCCTGCCTCTGGCAAATGAGGTCTCGTACAAAAAAAGACCCTGCGAAAATGATACTATTGTAATTTTGCTAATCACCCAAGTAAATTGATCGGAAGAAGAAAAGGAAACCGGTTGTCTCTTGTCTCTGCGAGTTCTAAAATTAATCAGTGCTGGGGAGATTCTTAAAAGTTTTTGGAGCACCCTCTAAGCGTGCTGCTTGACAGCGCGAATTACAATCGGACAAACTCCGAAGAAGGAAAAGCAAGCAGGCAGGCGTGCACCTCGACGGAATTAACTCTTGGCCTTGTTTGGCGAGCTTGAAATTAATTCCGCTCGTTATATCACAAGAGCACACGCACTTCTGGGGACTCGGCGCGCCCAGCCAAGCGAATTTGCAAAACGGATGTGTTTTGATATCAAGACCGTCGGCTAAATGGTCCGTGGGTAATTTCGCTTTGCACCCGCCGCTTGCTTTCTCTCGTGGTGCGCATTATCGTCCACGCGCGTGTATATTAAGTGCAGTTATCCACGCAGATAAGACGCGCAAATATTTGAATAAGCGGCAAAGGGTGCCCGCCGCCCGCCCGCCCGCTTGGGTTTCAGACGCGCCTCTTCTCTATTTCTCTTTGTGTGCCTGGCGAGAAAGAAGCGCTGTGAGTTTGTCTGCCAACAGACGGAACAGACCTTTGCTCCTCCGAAGTTTCAATGTTTGTGCTTTCTTTCTTTTCGTGGAGTAGAACACAAGAAAAAGGGAATAGAGAGTGCTTGGGGGTAATTTACATACAATCAATGTCAATAGCGGCGGAACAATATGGGTGGCAATCGAGGCTGTTTGTTCAACCAGGCATTTCCAATTGTCTTTTTAACCTTTCATTGGTTTTTGCTAACAAGGAAATCGAAAAAAAAATCAAATGAATAATTTAATAGTTCTTTTGAGCAATTTGCTAGAAAAGGAATGAGGTTTATTTTGCATTAAAAAAAATATCTATGGCTGAGAATAAAATTTGATAAATAAACTATGTAGCTTTAAAAAAAAATTATGATTAGTATTTTTAGATTTTGCTAATATGTCAACTTTCAGTATTTTCCGGACTTTCCAACTCTTTCGTCTGATTTTGACTTACCTCTTAGTTGCCTTTTAAAGCCAAATTTTTCACGATTTTTTAAATTTATTTAATTTAATATAAATATTAAAAATCTCAGCTGAAAATGAATGTCAGTTCAGATTCTAGATAATTATTGTAGTTAATCAGCAGGGATTAATTATGACGTAAAACGCCTTCACGCCCCCTGCGTAACAACGTCTTTCAAGTTTTTAAAC